TGCCCTTGTCTGTCTTCCCATGCATTGTGTAATAACTACTTCCACGTCCTCTCCCGGTATGTTTCAGGCAGGGCGCTTTCCCAGGGCTCTTCTTACCATACCAGTTATGCTCCTGTGGTTTGGGTCAGTCACTGGTCTGTCTGGCATCTCAGAACTTGCTGTTTAAACCTGGTTATAAACAGCTTCTCCAAACTGAGGCTCTGTCATTGACGACTTCTCTTTTTTTTTCCCCCCAAGTCTTCCCAGAAAATCAAAAACAGCAGCACAAGAAAGGGACGGGAAGGAAAAGGAAGGAGGAGACCTCATCTGCCTCGCTCACGAACTGCCACAGCTACAAAATATTCCTTTCCTCCTCCCTGCTCCCTACACCCCTCCTGAAGGCTCTCGAGGCTGGAATTAAGATGGACACAGCATTCCTCCAGCACTGACCAAGGGAAAACTCTGACCTTTTCAGATATACAGTGCAGTCCATATTCCCCAGCATCCCGTTTCGTTTTGCATCTGATCCAGTATGCTCAGTTCCAGCTGTTTTCCCTCAAGTATCAAACATTACAGAGACAAAAAAAAATTCCCCTCTCTCCAGCAGCAGTGACACAACAAGCTGAAACAATCCATTCCTTGTGAACGAGAAGACGACTTCGATTTTCGAGCCAGATCCAACGTTCAATGTGCTACTTCCTCTGTTTTAATCAGTTCAGAATGTGGAAGGCAGCGGGGGGGAAGGGAAGGGAAGGGAAGGGGAGAGGAGGCCGGCAGGGCTCTCCGGCTCGGCCAGGACAGCCCTGGCACTATGCACCGCTGCACATTCCTGAGTGGGCTCCAGCTGGAGTGCGGTATGGATCGTATACCTTACTTTGTTTTCACCCGCGGTCCCAGCCAGTTCGCCGCATTCCTAATGGTCAGCTCTAAAAACCCTCATGCAACTTCCTGTCAGCGCAGCTATCTGGGTTTCCACAGTGCACTCATCCTTTTTTCTCCTTCTCCTTAATGAAATTTTTGAAAAAAGAAAAATCCCCAACTAATGCAAGCCAAAAAAAAAAAAAAAAAAAAAAAAAAAAAAAAAAAAAAAAAAAAGAAAAAGCCACCCTTTCTCCTCTTCCCCAGCAAAAATGCTGTCTGCTTATCCGGAGGCTGAATAAAAGACAGGCCAAATATAAAAATGCATTCTGCTTTCCTAATACACTTTCACATCAGGATGTGCTAATAACGGAAGATGCCATGGGGCAGTTGCCACGGGTACACTATCAAAAGCACAAACTGTGCCTGAAGGAGCTGGGGCAGCTCTGAAAGCCTACCTGCCTACCTGGCAGGCACGCGCCTCGCAAGGCCAGCAGAACCACAGCAGAGCAAACTTCAGCCACTTTCTGCAAGGGCACTGTCAATTACCCATTTCCCACAAACTTCGTGTTACTCCAAAACAAGAAGGCATACCAATTGGATCACATATGGCAGCCGGAATTGCCATTCTGCCATCCAAGAGCCACAGGAACGTGTTTATTATGGGTACAGGCTGGCTAGGTAATTAATGATCTTACTTCAGGGAAAATAGGGCTGTAAAGAGGAGTACCAGACTTGTTTATATAAAGATAAATTAGGCAGCAAGATGAGCATTAATTCAGAGATTATGGCTGGGACAACTTACTGACACGTCAAACAACAAGACAGACATACTCAGATAAGATGACGAATGGATTATTGACCATAATCAAGAAGTTCAGTCAAGACTTCTTAGGCCATTAAGTGCATCCTGGCAAGCAACCGCCATGCATATTCTGCACTTGAGACGTGTGTCTTTTAAAAGCAATTACTCTTAAGTCATTGTTTTCCTTCATTACTTTTCATACACCCCTGGTTTGCAAGACTACTGCTTGTAAAACTGTGAGCCCTCTAAGATTTAAAGAACAGCTCATACCTGGTCCTCCTGTCCAGGATTTCATCAAAGAACAAACAACTAGTCTGACTTCTGCACCACTGGTATCCAATAAAGAACTGTCCCCCTTAGGGTTATGAAGACTCAACAGTGACAACAAAAGCTTTTACAATGTCCGAGATTTGCATTCATGACTACCACCGGAGCACCAAAATAGCCTCCACGGGAGGTGCTGACACCTAACCCGAGTGGCTGGTACAGGGGGTCCCCACCACACTTCAAAATAAATAAAGAGCCATTGTAATCAAGTGCCAGCTTGTTTTCCCTGCCGCTTCAGGACCGCCATCACCCTTTCAGCCAGGGTCCTCCTCGGGCAGCGACAGACCCTTCCTAGCACCGGTGCTCATCCAAGAGAGGCGAGAACTGCTCGTGCTTCATAACAGGAGCTGCCAGATAATGGGCTGACTAAAACCAAAGTCAGACTCTCTCCAGCAGCCTATTTCCTATCATATCCGATAGCACATGGCGCGGAAAATCTTCTGTAAAGGAAAAAGGATGGCTAGTAAGTTTAAAAGGGCCTAAAAACATCGGTGACTAGGCCAGCAGCACTGCTCAGGAAACTTTCTTGTCAAATAATGCTGGTTCCTTGAAAATGAAACCGTTTTGAAAAAGGGTTACTTTTGTTTTGCTTCCTGTTTTTGAAATAATTTTTTTTAAAAAGGCCTTGAAATTATCAAAAGTTTCCATTTTGGCACATGGGAAACAGAGCTTTTTTTTTTTCCAGCTCAAGCAATGCTTTCTTTTACAGCTAATATTAAACAGAAAATGAAATGTAAAGCATTCAGGCCGTAAATGACATATTTGGAAATCATTGAGCTTCGACACTTTGACTTTCCCGACCCACTCTACCCTCCCTGCTTCCACAGTGACCGAATTGGGTTTTTTGGTGGCTGCCCCTAACTTCAGATGGCAAAATAACCCCAACCTCCCCAACACGTGGCGGGGTGGGCAAATGGCTTCCTGGCCAGCTCTAGCGGCCAGGCCTTGCACAGGACTTGGGTTCAGCCGGCTGCCAGCCCCCCTCTCGCCCTCTCCCCCCTTAGCGAGCGTTTTGGCGTGCTGAGGAAGGGCAGACATAGCCTGCCAAAGCGGGAAGGATGCGCCTGCAAGAGGCTAGGCTGGAAGCTCCCTGGCATGGGAGGAGGCCACGCTGCACGCCCTCTCTGCCAACACTTCCCGGCCCCCGGCTCCTGGCCACCCCGTTAGGCCCGGCCTCGGCATCGCTAACGCGCCGGTGAGGCAGCCGGGGCCCCTCCACCTCCCTGTCCCCCCGTGCGCTGCCGGAGCGGGCCTCTCCCCACGCTCCAAGGGGAAAACAAACAGATTTGCAGTACTGTAAATAGGAACAACTTAACTTCTATCTCCTCCGCTCCAAATTTTTCCATCCGAAAGCCCATATGGCTCAACTTTTAATTATTTTGGCTAATGCTGTATGTAGTAATTCTGTGGTGAATGCTTAAGTGTTTCATTTCTGGTTTCCAGGGCAACATTACATCAGATTGCAGACAGCTGGCTCCACAGCCTTAAACCATAACAAATTGGCCAAGCCGATGTACAAAAATCGTGCTTGCTTTAAAGAGAGCGCGTAGGGCTCAGCCAGGCTGCCGGGGAGCCGGCGAAGCCTGCGGGGCCCCCTTGGCGGGGCTGGCCGGGCGGAGCCGCCTTCCCCCGTGCCGCTTGGAGCAAGTGCATCCCCGACACATCTGCAATGCTCTCACGGTGCGGAAACCCGCCAGCTTGGAGAGCTCGGCTGCACAAACGCGTGAAGGACTACAGGGGAACAGGGACTAAATTAACAGCATCTGGAAATACCAAGGACCGCATGCAGAGGACTGCAGCCACCACGTACCACATGGCTGGAAAACGATGGAGAGGCCAGGGCCCAATCTCGCCGCCCAGCTCTTCGCCGCTAACAAATATGACTGCAGATCTATGAAAACGCTGTCAAATCCAGGAGAGATCAATTCCCTCTGCCATCCCTAGTGTCCCTTCTGCTCGGAATACTTTTCCTACCCAGGCACCTCTAAAGGCCATGCTTTGCATCATCTTGTACATAAGATCAAAGTAAAAAGCCTTACGTTCAGGAACAAATAGGAAATTAGCACATGTACTTTGATATTCAAGGAGCTCTCTGTAGTTCTGCTCCCGGAGCCCTCTTTGCTTTCTCTCCCACTTTTCTCACGCAGGCTCTTTGCTGCTGCCTGCTCTGGAGGCAAGGCACACGCCTTGCTCTGCCGCTCTCTAACATCCAGCCCATTTCTCACGCCACAGAAATAACAATCCTAACCTCCCTCTTTGAATTAGTGCTTCATGCATGCACACACACACAGAGCGAAAACTAACATTTATTAGGGTACTTGGAATTAATTGGCAAAATGTAAACCAGAAGTAAGTAGCTAGCTTTCGGCAGGACTATGTTTGGAAACACTTCAGGGTTATAGCAGCAGCCCTTAAAAAACACAAGATCGGCAAAGCCTGCTAGCCAGGTCCTAATAAAAACGTTTAAGACACACTAGGACAATATCCAGTTAAAGCTATCGTAACTGATTAATCTGTTTCAGCGCCATAAACAAAAACATATGTGACTTTTACATGAGCTGTGTGAAGCCATTTAGAGAGATGTTAAAATTTTACAGTTTGCTTTATGCCCAGTAATAGTTCAGCCCCAAAATGAAATCTCTAGGAAACCTCCCATCTAAGAAACCAGGAAATCTCTTAATATCTGATTAAGCCCAAGCTGCAATTATTTTTGGCTATCAGACAATTC